TTTAATTTTATTCATATAATATAAGTAAGGTGAAACATGTGAGCGCATACAGAACAAACTGGCTCTCGTTACAGTAAATCTCATCACGCAGACAGATGTCGTTTAATTCTCCATGACCAATGATTACTGCTATCGTTGAAGTTTTATTCATATCAGCCTTCTGCAGTGTTTCCGCTAGTTGCTTCTTTTTTCTGTGCGGTTAAAGACTATATTAATTTTGCTGTTCAAACATGAGTTGTGCGTACGTACTTGTAGAAAGGAAAATACTCTGTATCTATCCGTTGTTGTATCCATCAAGCATAGGAGAGAAAGAAAAAACCCGTGACTAATTATTACATCAGTTACAGCAATATTTACCATGACTTTAATAAAAAAGAAATACAGAATATTTTTCTTTTCTATTCTCGTCTTTACTTTTCTTTCTCGTCATTTGTGAGGTGTCACATTTCGTCCTGTGTTTTTTCAACATAAAAAAAATAGCAGATATCCTTGCTGGCGTACATCAAACGTATTGTAATAAATAATAATCAAAAGTAAGTAACTGATTGAGTAAGAAAAACTTCTAAATTTCAGCAGTGACTCAAGGATCCGCAACACTATAACGTATAATCTTCAAAAGATATCTTTTCGTAAGAAGAGTTCTTTCGCTTAATATGCTGACAAATATCCTCAAATGTGCTCTACAAAGTGAAATATCTTTTTAGCACGTCAGAACTTTACGTTATTGGCTCAAATTCAATTAAACACAATGAAGATGAATCTTGTGAGTCTTGAAAACATAAGATTCATTTATAATTAATTTTTCTATAGAATATCATTTTCACAAAATCAAAATACACTCTTATAGACTTCAATTATAGAACGATCAAATTTTATTTTTACAGATTTGAATCTGCAAAAGTAAGTATTTACTTCAGTATCGATAATAAGACTAACACCATCTCATACATAGTGAAGGTAACTGTTTCACTTGAGACTAGTTTCGTCTTTATTCAAAAGACGTCATTAGTCACATGATGACAAAAAATTCTTTACTTTCAGGCAGTGGAGAAGAAGAAACACATGTAAAGAACATAAAAATATAATATAGTCCATTATTCAGTCGTATATGACATGATGCGTCGTCAAAAAACATTCAGAGTAAAAGTTTTTCGAGAATAGATATTCCTAATTTTCTTTTTACTGTGCATATCCATAAGTAAACGCCTTTTTTATCCCTCTTTTTTTTTCATGAGATTCCGAGGCAAGAATTTCAAGATTTCAGTTTGTTCGATAACCACTCGCAAGGCCAATGATTAGCAATCCTTGAGAATCCAATATCTCGGAAAGCATCTTTATGTTCTTGTTGTCAGTCATCATTTGACTGAAAATGTCTTTTGAATAAAGACGAAACTGGTCTGAAGTGAAACAGTTAACTTATAAGGTGGTGTTAGTCTTATTATCACCGATAAAAGGCTAGCACGCGAATTCACCATTAAAAATGATTCTAAAGTATTTACTTTTTTGCTATGTATGATACACCATGATTAAAGGTGACAAAGTTTTTAATTCTGGTTCACATAGAACAGTTTCAACATTTCCAGCGTAGCGTTTTTAATGAAAAGTAATTTTCACAGTTAATTAACTATGCACTTACAGTACTAGAGCAAAAAGGTTCTTGTCAAAATGAGATACATTCCAACTCTATGCAAACAAGTTCGATAAAATTGGAAACTATAGATATATTATGTGATTCTAGGCAGAGTCAGTTTCTGCTAGAATCCGACTGAACAATGATATATAGGACTTAGTCGATGTTGTGGCCGACGTGACTCATCGCGTTTCTTGCCAGTGTACACTGGAACGATCCTAACTATTTAATAAATCTTCATAAACCAAGAATATACGCACATATGATTTTTATATGATATATCACTTTCTTAACAAAGTCCTGTTCAGTTACAACTCAGCGAGTCTGATAGAAAACCATGATGGCTGCAGTCAGAATGCTGGTAAAGCAGCCATTGAATGTGCTGGTTTCTATAGTAGTGTGGAGAATCACAAAATGCAAAATTATTTTGATTCTCTATGCGATCATGTTTTGGGAATAAGTCTTTATTGTTATTGTCAGCTTAAAATACGAATACTGGCTCACCAAACCCATGCTAATATTAATTGCATAAAATCAACCAATGGCTGCTGATCAGCAAGTAAACCTCTTAAGAAAGCAGAAAAAAGTCACACACAGCATCGGCTAACTGAACTGAAATTGTTTTTGATTGAGCTGAAATCTTCACTATAAGCAGGTAAAATTATATCGCAAATGTATTTTTGTGGAATGGAAGTGGAAGGCAACATTTTGCAGACACCATACGTCGTCAAAGATTCACGACCGTATACTATGGTATTTCGTCGTATTTTGACGTAAACTGGTCAACGTATTACGTCTATCATAAACGACGTCGTCTACGTTCGAAATACGATGGTCGTAACGGCTGACGTAATACGTTGGCTGGTTTACGTCAAAATATGACGAAATAGTATAGTATACGTCAAATTATGTCGTGTAATTTGACGTATACGACCGTATAGGGCGGACGTAATTATGGACCTGGATAATGATGATGACAGCATCTTTCCCGTCGTCCCTAAGAACCTCGATGATCAGCTCATGTTGCAGAAGTTGTACAGATCTAAAATTCTCCACGTGGACGAAGAAAAAAGTCGAGCGTTGTCAAAGAAGAGGGGCATATTTTGATTTAACCTTAGTTAGATGTCACCATCCTATTAAAGATTACATAGACTTTTCGGTTGTAATTAGTTTTCAGCTGAGGCCTATGCCATCTGCTATTCAATGAAACTTTATTGTAAGAAACACTACTTATAATCGAACACTCTAGATAAAAATCCATCTTAAAATAAGAGGACATAAGTCGGTTGCGTAATAGTCGAATTAGTTGGTCTTAACCGAAGACTTTTCGAATCATCCTATATTAAGACGAATCGACTCGACTATTGTGCAACCGACCTATGCTCTCTTATTTTCGATGAACCAACTTATCCGTCTTACCTTAACGTGAGCTATTTTTACATCCTGTTTTGATTATTAGGAGTTAATGGATAGCCTTATTGGATCGTAGGAGCACTTTTAGTACTGAGTATATAAAGAATTTTAGTAATCAAAATAAATTGACAACTTTTGTCGCAAAAATCATTGTTCTTTATAGACGGGTAAAAAAAACCCAAATCAAAAGTGATAAATGATTTTTTTCGTCAATTATAGAAGTAAGACGGAAGAACGGCTTTCAGAAACAAGTACTTAAAAATAGGATCGATGAAAAGAAATAGAACGGATAACACATGTCCGGAATGATGAATCACAGACTTTGTTTTTTTGCATTAAATCGTAATCTGTTATGAGCCAATTCAACGTTTCTCTTTTCAGATCAGATATTTTCTTTTTTACTTTTGTTTAATTAATTCTTCATTCATTGTTCTATCTGTCATACCTCCTCGAACATGTCTAGTAACATCTTTGACAGTAATCAACAATACTGGAACTGTCCTAACTGTACACTATCAAATCACATATCCTTGTCAGAATGCGAAACATGCTTATACAAAAACAGTCACCAAAATGGACAATCTAGCGTAGTGGAGGCTTTGACCTGTCCTAAATGCAAAACTGACAATTGGCCAGGAATGGAGGAATGTGTCGAATGTGGTACACCACTTATCACTGAACATACCAGCAATCAAATTGCATCCACAAAAGCAGCCCCATCTACAACATCGAAACAAATGCATAACGAGATGAAGTTAGCAGCCGTTACACAAGAAGGTAAAAATGTTCACTTCAAATATTATAAGAAAGAGTTCGCGGGAGTATTGATGAATCTCATTATATTAATCATAAAGTAAAGTTTTCTTCAATTATATCAGGCCGATACAGCATTTAAAGTTATTCAAGAATAGGAACATACGATCGATCGTATTGTACCTTAATGAGCCTCTTTGCTAGTAAGCTAGTGAATTCTTTTGATTCCATATGTGGTCATGGAAAGGAAGCCGTTAGAAAGTTTTTTTATGCATTGTTCAAAGTATAAGGATTCTCAGATATTTACAGGTCTTTGAAAATATAAATTTTATCTGGGATCATATACTGCTATGACACGATGCTGTGTAACAACAATTTAGTAAAAATGATCTCAGTATTGTGTATAGAGGCATTCTCGCTTTAATTCCAAATTTCAGTCGGTTTTTGTGAATCTGTATGTATATATATTCAAAGACAAGTGGATAATTATTCATTCTATATTATTGTTTTCTCTGTCTTAACCCTTCCATTTTTCTCTTTCTATACTATTCTTTGTGTTACCTACAGAGTACATCACTTATCACTTTTCATTTTTTCTGATTGAATCATACGCTATATAATGGGAATTTTCCCCAATTTGAGCTTTATTTCTCATGCTCATTATAATTAATAAACAAATAATCTTTAACCTTGAAGAAATTAAAAGTTTTTGTTGTAAACTCTGTTTTGAGCAACTAATTGCACAAAAAGTTTTTGTATTAGCTATGGTGCAAAATGATGAAAGTCTATTTCATACTGGAAAAATATCAATAAAAACTTACGAGGAATCATTCTCAAGTGACCAATTCAGATTTTCTTCGTTCATATGTGAATCGATAGAGTATACTGAGATAGTCAAAAGACTAAAAGGATTTGGGTTCTTACTGTTTCCTACGAAAGTTATTGAACTTTTTTGCGTTTTTCCTTCAGAACCTTAAAAGACTCAATATTTTAGTTTCATAAAGTTTTCTTTCCTTTCATATGTATTCAAAATCTTTTCTTATACATAGTCTGATAGAAGAAAGCCTTCTCTTCAAAATGAGATGTCTCTCACAATTTTCCGATGAATTTTGGTGGAGATTTAAGCATCACGGGAAATGCCCCAAAAAAGGTGACCTGTGTACAAAATACATGTTTAAAAAAACCAAATAACACATTTTAAAATATTGAGTCTTTTAAAGCTCTGAAAGAGAAATTCAAAAAAATTCAATAACATTCACGGGAAACAATAAGAACCCAAATCCTTTTAGTATTTTGACTATCACAGTATACTCGATCGATCCACATATGAACGAAGAAAAACTGAATTAGTCACTCGAGAATGTTTCCTCGTTAGAATATTGATAATTCCAATGCTGCAGATATCGGGAATCATTTCTACCACTTCAAAAAATTAGTCACTTTTTCAAATAAAATCTAACTCAGATTTCTGAAGCCCGAAAAACTAGTTGTACGGTTTTCGGTAAAAAAGTCACGGAGAAGCGGTTTCAAGTTTTGAAGTTCAGAAATGGAAGGTTATAGGCAACTTTGGATTCTCTGTCAGATGCGTATGATTAAACGAGTAACCAATGTCTTTATTTATTCTCTTGGCTTCAAAGATGCGAAGTTCGAAAGAGCGCTGTTAAGAAAAAAGAAAATTTTTCTAAACAAAATTTTGACAGAACCAGAAGAAAGATAAGTCATCATATCAAACAGTTTGTTCAGAGAAGCGTCGACAAATTCAGCACCTTTGTTATTAACCATCACTGTTTTAGTGATTAAATGTGTATTCTTGTCTTCTTTACAGTCTCAACTCCTGTCGTTGGTGTCAAAGCCTCGTCTAAACCCCCGATGCCGTTGATTGAGAAACCGATGGATGATCTCCAGTTGAAATGGTACTATGATCAGCATCAATGGGTGATGAAATCACTGAAACAACAGTCATCGAGTATTGATATTAAACGTATTCGTTCACTTATTGAACAGTTGTACATGTCAAACGAATATCAACCCAGACTGAGTCAACCATTAGGTCAACTTTCGTTCAGCATTTGCCAAATTTGTCTCGATCCTCAATCAAAGCCACTCATCGAAATGATTACGTGTCGTCATCAAGTGATATGTCGTGATTGTTATCAACAATATTTATCCATTCGAATTCGAGATGGTGAAGTGATGCCATGGATACCATGTCCCGGTGAAGTGTGTCCAATACCATTATCATGTCAAAATTTGATTTATGATGGACAATTAAGTGTGGAGCAACTGCTTGAGTTTTGTCAAGTTCATATGAGTAAAAAATTGAATAGAAATGAAAATTTTGTCCCATGTACAACTCAATCGTGCTATGGTGGGTTTTTGCAACTTGGACAATCGAAAAAAGAACAGGTGACGTGCCGAGTGTGTAAACAAGAACAAACAATTGAAAAGGGTTAGTGTAATTGACGAGAGATTACTTTGAAGTAACAACTGTAGGATATTACAATCTTGAAGATAAGTAACGTGAAAAGCATAAAAATTCTGAATGTAATTCACGGAATAGGTAAACCCTGTGAAAAAGCAACTGAATAGAATGACTACGTTTGCTTGTATTTTGACTCAACTTTGTGAAATCCAGATCCTTGTAAGATGGTTGCACATGTAAGTGAGCGAAAGAATATTGATTGAGTTAGACATTGAAAACTATTGTGGAGGCTTCAAAGTAACATCAAGTCTTATTTTTAACATTCGATTGATTTACTAACACACAAACGCCTTGTTTCACTGTGATCCTTTTAGATGTAAGTGAGAGATAAAGTAGCTTCAAGGATAGTCAAATTATTCTTTCAGAGCTTGTCAAATTACTCTATTTTTAAAAAGAATAAACCTCAAATATCTAGCTGAATCAGTCAAGAATGCGAAAGTTATTATAGAATACGTTCTTTTTAAAAAGCAAGTATGAAGTTGACGAGTATCCACCGGTAGCAGAAATCTGTATGGACTGAACTGACGAGGAAACATTTTTACGTGCCCCTCGCTTTTTCAACGAAATCTAGTGGGTTATAGGATGGTTATCGATGATGTTGATTCCGAATATGAATATGAGAGCTGCCCTTAGGGCTTCGAAGGTCCGTTTTTCTGGAAAACTAGTTTTTCAGAAACTCTGAAAAACAACCAGAGCTTTTCTTAATGAGCCATGCTTGTGGCCCGCACATTTCTGATTAAAATGAGACCTCTCTCAACCCTACATGACCTTTGTGTGCAATGTTATAGAATTTACACGAAAAGCCCTAAATGAATTTCTTCTTATTTCTGTAGCTTTGAGTTGACGATAAATATTTATGACTTTTCTTGTAAATTCTATAACGTTGCAAAGAAAGGTCATGTAGAGTTGGGAGAGATCTCATTTTAATTTAAAATGTGTGGGCTACAAGCATGGCTCATTAAGAAAAGCTTTGGTCGTTTTCCAGAGTTTTTGAAAAACTAGTTTTCCAGAAAACCGGATCTTCGAAATCCTAATGCAGCTCTCATATTCATATTCGGAATCAGCATCATCGATTTCCTATAATTCACCAGACTTCGTTGAAAAAGCGAGAGGGCACTTAAAAACGTTCCCTGGTGAGTTCATAGTCCAGTCCAGTCCACATGGAGTTTCAAGACCATGGACTGGTCTGGATTCGAACATGTCAGGACTGTGCCCTGATATCTTGGCGGTAGAGCATTGGTCTGGTTCACTGATGGCCAGGATTCGATTTCCATGCGTTTTCCGAATATTTATTTATCGAAAGTTTAGCTGCTAAAAACTATCGTTTCTTAACTTTCAAAGTTGTGACTAGTAACGATAGAGATGACTATGTTAGAAGCTTGTCAACTGAGCAGGCGAAAATTGAACATGTACACTAATTTGTAAAAAATTATTTGCTCTACAAGATGTGATAGCTTTTCGAGTTCGAAACTATTAGAATTAATCTGCATTAATCAACGAAAAACCGTGACGTTGTGACACTTTTGACCGTTTTTTGTCATAGCGTAACGGTTTTTCTGATTTTTCCTTGATTAATACAGATTAATTAGAATAGTTTTGAACTTGAAAAGCTATCACATCTTGTAGAGCAAACAATTTTCTACAAACTGGTGTATTTGTTCAATTTTCGTCTGCTCGTCTTTACTCTTTCAGACATAATTTTCAGATAGCCTCAAAATCGACTTTTCGGGCTGTTTGTATAACAGCTGTATTTTCATAGAGAATCAACGTGCGAAGCCGAGACACTTTTCATTTTGTAGAGAAATGTTTAATCTACTTAATCATCTAGTTGCAATTTTAGATTAGTTTGTAGCTTTATTGCAATATTTTTTGCGAAAAAGGGAACCGTTAGTTGAACTAGCCGTACACTTTCAAAAGCTTTTCTGCATTTTTCCTTCTTACTCTTCCTAATATTGAAGCTTTCTAATTATTATTGATATTTTTACGTTGTTCTCTCTAGGTAAAGTTGGTGATTTAGATGATACATTTAAAAATATGATTGTAAAAGGTGTTTTACGTGAATGTCCATCGTGTAAACATTTAACATTAAAAGAGAAGGGTCTGTGTAATGTTATCGAATGTGCTAAATGTTCGATCTGGTGGAAGTAAGTTATTTACTCTACTTTTTCATTTCTTCATCCCTCTTTCTACTTCAGTTGGGCAACAAGAGAAATGGGACATGACGCACGGGATTTAAAAGAGCGTATGTATTTTTTTTATTCGTCATAAGCGATTATAGTCACTGATTGAATGAATTGTAGGTGCAAGAATGCATGGAACATTATGGGAGCCGGGTGAACTCTTATATCAACTAGATTTGCAACGTCGAAATCCAGAAGAATTCAAAGCTTTGTTGGAAAGAAACGGGATTCAATATGATCCGAATTATGTTCGAGGCAGTAAATCCAAATGAATTTCTTTTCAAATAAGTCGTTATCTTTTGTATGTACACTGTTTTTATTGTTGTTGTTAAACAAAGTTTTAATGTATTTGTGTTGTCGTTTTGTTTAAATTGGTGAGAATGGAGAGTCCAGATTATTATTATGTGTAATAGAATAAACAAGACTGCGAAAGAAACGAAAATAATAATAAAATTTCTCCTTGAGAGAAATATAAAGTGCAAGTTGTTCTTCTTGACACGTGTAGGTTAAACCAACAGTAGGTTTTTGATGTACTAAAACTATAGCGAGAAAGCACATAATAACGAATTCTAAGAAGTAACGGATGGTTCAAAAAGAATTATAATTAGTATTTTCAATTTTTTGTCCACTGTCTTAATTAATCAAGCAATTTTTTTTACCAGAAAACAGCACGGTCAGTTCACTACAAAGTATCTATTGCAAAATCCGAAGGTGGATAATAAGATGTGAGATCTTATTGGGGGGAGAAGGGGTCCAACACCGCTAATATTTGGATACGTTGTACAATTCTATGGGCCACGCCAGACTAACCCCCCTTTATGCGATCACAAACGTCAAAATGAAATGAAAAAGTATTTTTCACACTGCAGTTAAGATGCGACTCCATACGGGTAACCGGAACTTCGCCAATAAGACTTTCGCCAACAGGACATTCGCCAATGGCGAAAGTGCAGGGTGTGTATTGGCGAAAGTACAGTGGACATTCGCCAATTGGCGAAAGTGCAGGGAGTGTATTGGCGAAAGTACAGGAGGTATATTGGCCTTCAGCGATCTGAGATCGTAATACACCGGAGCGAGTTGTGACAGGCATTAATCGAATACTTATTATCTAAACTGACTTGTGGCAAAAAAGAAAAAATAGACAGAGATAGCTAAAGATGATGCAATATATAGACCTAGAATAATAGTGATCACAACTAGACGAAAAAAACAATGAAAGAAATAAAATAGACGAAAAAGAAAAAGAAAATAGAGAGACGAAAACGTGTACCACAGTCAGTATAATACTAAAAGATCACGCGCACACACATGTGAACAGAAGTAAGACAAAAAATAGAAAACTAAATACTAAGAACTTTTCTAATCCACGTCTAATTCACGGTCAAAATGGCGAAAGTACAGTGGACATTCGCCAATTGGCGAAATTCCAGGGGGTATATTGGCGAAAGTACAGTGGACTTTCGCCATTGGCGAATATCCTATTGGCGAAAGTCTTATTTGGCGAGATTCCGGAACCCCCTCCATACACTTTATATGTGCCCTCAAAAAAAAAAGAAAAACTATGTCAGTTTGAAGAGAACGATTGAATTTAAATTTGATGGATTGTAACACGTTGGCTAGATAGGTTAATGCGTTCTCTACAAGTCTGCGCAAGGCCGACCGCTCTGTCTATTGTGGTTCTCGAATGGCAGGTATTTACCCCACGAAATGGTAACGAATTCCAGTGGAAAAATGCCTACCATTCGAGAACAATAACAGATAGAGCGATCGGCCTTGCGCAGAATTGTAGAAAACACTTCGGACTCTCTAGTCACTGTATTGAAATTAAAAATCCGCCGCAGATTTAGTATCTGGTAATCTGGATTCGTAGCGCTTGGATATCTCCGCCGAACGACATATTGCTTTATCGTTTCCAATAAACCGTTAATTTGTAAATAAAAGGATAAGGCATTAGAGCGATATTAATTAGTATCTATTAGCATTGATTAATTATAAATTAGTGCCTTAAAAAAGCTTTTTCTAAAACGTTTTCCATCTAACTATATCAACAGACCATTAGCTATCAAACAATGTATGAATGACTTTTCTACAATTATTTTTGACTGAGCTACAAGTTTTTAAAATGAGAACTATAATTTTAAGTTTTAATTAAAATTGAAACTTAATTAACTAATAACTATGTGAATAATTATCAGTTCATCGAAAAAACTGAAGGATATACGTAATCTGGTGTCCTCTTCAAACTGACAGAGTTTGAGGGCACGTATTTGGAGGGACGGGAGGGGATTGAACTGAATTTTTTTTCATTTTGAAGACTATTGATTAGTCTATATTGTGGAACAGGTAAGATCTGAAAAAAAAATGTCCCTTGTTATCGCGCGTAGATAAGGCCGAAATCGTTCGCTGTTTTCGCCCGATTTCCGATAAGTCAATCTTTGCGTTGGATATTTTCGCTCAAAACAAAGTTTGTTGCATGCCATGAGAGAGAGCACATTTGAAACTACACAATGTATACTCAAACTGTGCACTGATACTTGCGAAATTATTCGAAAAAATGTAGCTCTCTATGAGAATATACATTGTTTTTATCCGAATTTTCATACTTCATAAGATTTCTCATCTCATTTTCCATCTTCGGATTTTATAATAAAATCGACATATTTTGTAGAGAATTAAACGTACTATATTCTGGTAAAAAAATTTGCTCGATTAATTATCAGAAAAAGGATAAAAATTGAAAATACTAACACTGGAATTCTTTCTGGACCACCCGTTACAATACTCATACTCACTATTCAACAATTATGTGAACTACAATCTTAAGAAGAGGGTCTCTTATCAGAGCAGTTGAAAGTTAAAAAGTCGAACATACAATTTGAAGTTAGCAGCAAAAATATTGATGGACCTACCAATACTCTGTGACACTGTCTGAATGATTTGAAACTAAATTATTCTCTAGTATCATGTGTGAGAGGGAGAAAATGAAATGTTACTCGTGCTGTGTAGCATATTTAAACTATTAAAGGGTGAACCATAAGTTTTGGACCCTCTCTACAAATTATACATGAAGATCAGTTGTTTTTTGCAAAAGTTTCCACTATTTAATTCTCTACAAAATGGTATATAGGAGATAATCCTGAGAGGTGAGATGCCGTTCTAATTAAACCGAAATCGAAATGTCCCAAAACTTTCAATGTTCCAAGAAACAAAAAACCGCGTTTTCTTTATATGCGTTGTTTATATATCTCCCTTACTAATAGAGCTAGAGATATAAAAAATCTACAGTAATAATCATCTAGTTGTAAGAAATTAAATGTTTGAGGTCTTTTGGACTGACATTAAGAAAGAAAAGCATTTTTTTTCCAGAAGGCCCAAAACTTATTGATCACCCTTTGGTTGCGGCATTTCGATTGTTTTGAGGGAAATGACATCAGATATTTCGTATGTGAATCAAATAGACAACATTTCTCTTCAAAATGACACAAGAATGAGTCTGATTCATTCATTTGTGAGTGAGCACCGTTCATTTTACAAACAGCTTCAAAATGCACATAAAAAAAACTGAAAAATTATTCACAGGACTTTTGCAAAAAGCATCATTGAAAACAAGAAAATAACAACAGAAAGTTAGCATTTTAGCCATTCGATAGAGAATCCCAAGGGCTACATTTCTGCCTATTCAATGTGAGTACAACGCATATATTCAAGCTTATACTGACGAAATACATCCTTCGTTTTTGGAACATTGAAAGTTTTGGGACATTTCGATTTTGGTTGGGTATCTCAACTCTCAGGATCATCTCCTATATATAGGATCATTTTGCAGAGAATTAAATGGGGTGACTTTTGCAAAAAACAATTGAATCTTATGATATGTATTTCATGTAGATAATGTCAATTTACAGAGAAGGTCCAAACTTATGGATCACACTTTATCTGTACCAAAATATAATGCAGCCCGATGTTTTTTGAATAACTTTTGGACGAAAACCGATAGAGATCTGCGATTTTCCTATTCTGAAACTAGACACTTTGGAACGTAAACCGATGAGAAAATCAGGGCTTCCGACCAGCTTTATCATGGCGTACCATACGAGGCAAAATCCGAAAGCTTACTGTTTCCAAATTACACTATGAAATTCAATCTCAAATAATACCAATCGATAGCCAAAACATTTATCTTCAAAACTACGCAAAGCTCAGGTCTCCATCTCCTTTGGTTCCGGAGATACAGACGTTTTCTGACGACACACCTATCTCGTTCCAGGCATGCCTGAGAAAAATGTAGAGTTAGTTAGTGCATACCGCGCGCGATGGTAGTGCTGATCTTTTTTCAGTACTGTACTGAGATTTTTTTGTAGGAAAGCTGAGGATGTTTTTTTATAAGTCTTGCAAGAATCTGGGTAACAATAACGTACAGTTTTGCTGACTCTTATCAATTTCTTATGAATTATGGTAAGATTCAGCAGAATTCTTCTCACCTTCATGGATGATCTTATATAAGAATTGAGTAAGATTCTTGTAAGATTTCACAAAATTTTTTTGTCTACAGTCTCTGATAATTAGCTCAATTAGTCAAGATATTCTAACTAGCTGAGTTTGTGGAGAATTTCAAGGGCTATCTATTCGTGTGAATAGAAGAACAAATGTATTTGATTCCATCTGGAATTGAATATTGGAGCATTTTTCCTTGCTAGGAAGGCATTTTTACTCGAAAAAGAGAGTGGACCGATTTCTAACCTTATGCATTTCCGTCCTTACTTCGATTCAGCTGTTTAATTTTTTTTCCGATTCAAATGAATATAGTCATTAACACTGCGATTATTAGTTACACATTCTGCAGAGATAGATGAGTCAAATTTTCAGGTTAGAACAGTATACAATATATTAATAAGTACTAGGTGTGTTACTTTAGTTTTATTGTTCATTTATAATAATGGATAAATCTAAATGAATCATTTACTTTTATAAAATATATATAAATTCGTCACTTATATTTAATAAATAAATATAAATAAATGAAAAATAAATTTATCTTTATTTTATAAAAGTAAATGATTCATTTAGATTTATTTCGATATGTCTATCATTCGTCGACTAATTTTTGTTGACTCCACTTCGTCAACACTTGATTGTCGAAAGAATATCTTACCGGTTATTTTGTCGACAACTTTTCGTCGACGCATAATTTGTTTCTTTTCACTGACACTGAAATGAAGATACAGGGAGATTATGTAATACATATGAAATATCCACTGATCATGTGGCAAAAGCAAGATGTATGGAAGAAAGAATTCGTGTTACAGATACGAGTGCATGCATGTGGTTGTAACAATGTGGTAAGACGGTCGCTTGACCAAGTTATGTCTTATGTGCGACTGACTAATAATAAGGCAGAAATTCACATCATAGATGAAAGATTCATAGTCGACCAAATGGTTTGTTGACAAAAAGACTCGTCGACGAGATGAGTTGTCTACAAAATAACTCTCGACAGAATGAGTTGTCAAGGAAAAGCAGCCGACAAACATATGTCGACAAAATACCTTGTCGATGAAATATTTGCCGACAAAAAGGAAACTTGTTGACAAATTATCTGTTCGACGTATGATATGCAATTTTTTATTTCTTTGTTTCTACATAAAAAGGCAGAAACAAAGAAATAAATTATAAATAGATCATTTACTTTTATAAAATAAAGATAAGTTTTTTTTTTTCATTTATTTATATTTATTTTTTAAAGTTACACTAAATTAACACCTTTAATAAATACTGTTCAGCAGGTGCTTGTGTCTCTTTTTGATAAATATAATGTTTTCTAATCTACATAAAAATAAAATCCATATGACGATCATTAGAAAACAAAACTCATCGAGTCAGTCTCGTTATAGACTCGTAACTGGGAGGATAAGCATCTTGTAGCAGTTCAGTACCCAGTTTAATTGGAATTGTAATATTAATATTTGAACACAATCCTTCGATTTTACATTGAATTTTTAAGACATGATAAACGTGAACACGGCCACCATCCCGTTTTTCATATGAAGGACACAAATGTTTATATGCTGGTATTGAAACGGAAAATGTTTCTGATATAAACTCATTTGTTGTATTCATTATTCCCGGTAATACTATATGAAGTATATTTTCATTATGACTAGGTCCTACTCCTATTTGATAATATTCAATTAGAAATATTTCAATGTATTTTAATAGTATAGTTCGAGGATTTTTTATTTCTATTTTTGATATTATCGTTTCGCCAGGAATGTAGCCTAATTTGTTCAATGTACCTTTTATTTCCATTTCTTTACGATTATTTCCACCATAAATTATTGATGTTAAAGACTTTTCTAGAATTTTTACAATTGGAAAAATTGTAATCGATTTTTCATAAGATTTTTCATCATTAACTATTACTTTTAAATAATATCGAACATGTGGATATTTATAAGGTTCATTTAATGTTGGTGGTAAATAATCATCATCGAGGTTTATTTGAAATAAACAACAATAGTGTTCTTGCTTCTCCTTTATTACAGGTAATTTTACTTTTGCACTAATAACGGGTATAGAAAATGTGCCAGCATTATTTGAATGCTCACCGTCATAACTAATTTCGCCTAATAAAATTAGATTAACATTCTCAAGTCTTGTGTTTTTCGTATCATCAACATTATTATCCTTTAACGTATATATACTAACGTTTCCAGATATAGTTTCACTGCCATAATAAACTGCTTCTAAACGATCCAAATTAATATTGATCACTCGACTGTTATTATTTCCCATTTTCTGAAAACTGTAAAGCAATACACATTTTAAATTCTTCACATACTGACAATAATTTCATAATGCAGACGATAGCAAATATTTCACATTTATAACATGGCAAGTATCAATAGTACATAATATAAATTACTAACAAGTATAATATACTGACATCAATTATATTGATAAAAGCACGTTTGATGGCTATCAGTGTGTGTTATGAACCGAAACGTACAAAATGTTTAACTTTGTCCTCATATAGGTGGCTGTAGGAGTGATAGAGTAATGGTTTGTGATTTAATTTCACATGTTCTTTCGGTTAATATACATTGGTATGTAGTCCACATACTAGTCTGCCATCCTAATTTATTCACTATTACTCATTTATTTATAATTTCTAAATTATTTCCTCGAGCGTCCATTACTTCTTTCTAATTTTCAATTTTTACATATAAATGGATGCTTTGTTTTTTGGGTGTGGTTAAAAGTATGTTAAATAATGAATAATGTCTTCGCCAAGCATTTTTATTTTTACTCTTGTTC